GACTTGCCTGAGTAGTGTACGTATGCTTGTCTGCCTGATAGGTAATTGGCAAGCCAGCATTTGTTGTTGTGGTGTAGTGTGGTGTTGTAAATTTTGTTTGTGAGAGGGAGGCAGGGGATTGCATCAAAGGCTTCACTGATGTCTATTGTAAGTAGTAGTGTTCTGTGCACCAGTTTGTGGGAGTTGATGCCATCGTTTATGCTTTGTGTGAGGTTTGTGAGTAGTGTTGTTGTCGAGCGATGAGGTCTGAATCTGTGTTGTGTTAGAGAAAGTGTAATGTGCGGAGTGGCTGTGTTCAGTATGAGGCGCTCTATGCCTTTTGATGGTGTACAGAGGAGTGTGATTGGTCTGTATGAGGCGGCCTCAGTAGACTCCTGCGTTTGGTATTTTTTTTAATCCGAGACGAGACGAGACAGTAGGCTCTGTCCCGGTTCGCAATAATAACCGGGACAATTTTCAGCCCTCCGTAGGAATTCCGGGACGATACCGAGACAAGACGAGACATCCCGGTTAAAATAGGTACCTTAAAATTTCCCGGAATTTACAGCCATTTTAACGAGACATAACGAGACTAATCAATTATTGATGTGATGTAAACTTTGGCTTACCGTCATACATTTATACAGAGCTGGGCAGCGCTACCTTGAAATGTAGCGGCCGCTTATGACATTGACATGTGAATTTTTGTCCCTAGATCATAGTGGCAAACCAGAGCTTTTTTAGAATCAGTTCATTTTTAATTTCCTCATTTACTCAAGATTTAAACCAATTTCTCAAGTAGCTATGACAATGCTGGTATCCATGATACTTTACTGGTCTACTTATAGGACTCAAAAGTGAACTTGAGGGAGAGTCTAAAAAACTCTCTGCTTTGTCACTATGCCCTAGATGAAGTAGAAAATTGGGTAGAACTGTAGAAGCCACCTGTGAATTGGACAAAAACACCTGTGTACCTATCTCAGAATCTGGCCAATTTCAACCATTCATATCACATTTTTTGCAGAATTGTTATTGAAAAGTAAGAAAAATTGTCTATTTTTATCTGCAATTTTCAAAAAAATCATGCTTGAAAAGTTGAAAATATGCTTGAAATTATCTTTTTTACCTGACAAGCTGACATTTCAGAAAATGTTTCAATTTAGGGTACCTGTACACTAGTCTGGAAAAGTCCTATTTTTGTCTGAATTATCGCGGCTCTAATATCATATAATTTCAGTAGGTATGAAATCTCGCGGCTCGAATGTCATAAAGGTCTGAATCTGTGTTGTGTTGGAGAAAGTGTAATGTGTGGAGTGGCTGTGTTCAGTATGAGGTGCTCTATGACTTTTGATGGTGTACACTGTACAGAGGAGTGTGATTGGTCTGTATGAGGCGGCCTCAGTGGGTGGTTTGTTGGGTTTGAGAAGTGTGATTATTTTGCCAATTTTCCAGATGTATGGTATTTTGGAGTGTGAGTAGGAGAAGTTGGCAATGTTTGTGAGTGTCGTGTTTCTGTGTGTCGTGTTTCTGTGTGGGCCAAGGTGTTTAAGGTGTATGTTTGTAATGTTGTTGGGACCAGTTGCGGAAGAGTTTTTAATTTGTTGTATGACCCTTTTGGTGTTGTCTGTAGTGGCTTGGGTAGCTGTTGGGTCTAGTGGAAATTGTTGTTTGCGTCTTATGATGCATCTGTCTTCTTTGTATTTGGGTAACCTACTTATGTTTGCATAGTGTTGTGTTAGTATGTTTGCTTGTGCTTGTCTGGTGGGGATGTTGTCTGTGTTGGTGGTGATTGCTGCGTGGGTGTGTTCTTGTTTGCTGTTTGAGTTGTGTAAGCTGCGTATTGATCTGTAAAGATGTGTGATGTTATGTTGTGCTTGTGCATTAGGTATGTGCAAGGTATGTTGTGCTTGTGCATTAGGTGTTTAAGCTCTTGGTGTTTGGTGCTGATGTTAAGTCGCAGGGCATTGAGAGCCCTGGTGTTTCTGTTATTCTTGTGTCATGGATGGTGTTGGGGAGGAGGTGGTGGTGTTGATAGTGGTAGTGGTGGTGGTGGTGGCTGTGGGGGCAGTGTGGGTTGCTGTGGTGGTGATGGGGGTGGTGGTGGTTTGTGATGAGGTAGTGTTTGTGGTGTTGTTTGTGGGAAGGCAAGTGGTGCATTTAAAGTCGTTTGTGTAGTGAGTAAGTGGAGGGATTGTAGTGCACCGGAGGTGGACTCACTTGCCGCAGGAGTTGCAACGAACGGAGCCAACACTGCGTGTGATGCGTCTAGTGCAGGTGGGGCAGATGTAGATGGGTCCAGGATTGGACTTGATGTCCCTGGTGAGTAAGAGTAAGAGGGATTCAATGGCTGTGACATAGAACCCCTCTGTCGAAAAAACGAGGGACAAATCCCCCGCCTACAGCACCGCCCAGGATGCAAGGTACCCTGGGCCAGGGCCTGGGGTGGGGTTGAAGTTGAGGAGTTTTGCCATTGAAGGTCGCACGCTTCCTTCAAGGGGTGCTGCCACTGCGCAGAAACACCCCAATGAGAAGGGGCGCTCCACTCAAAGAAGCTCCCACATCCAGCGGCAATGGATGATGTGGTCAAATGTGACGTCACTGCAAGCTCCACCTCTGGCCGGCTAGCAAAATGGAAATAGTGCATCAATGTCAGTTGTAGACAAATGTGTTTTTTTATTGTGATATTGTAGTAGATATTTGAAACTCAGGGAAAGGGAGCTGGAATGGGAAGAGATGGTGGAACAACCAATGAAAATAAGTCATTGTCATTTTTTAAGTCATTTATAGCATTTTGGAACCAACAGAAGCAACTAAGAAATTTTACAGTTCAAATCTGTAATTTTTTATTTAAATCAATTTCAAAACTCCCCACTGCCCACATTTCTAGAGGGAGTTGCAAGAGGCCCACGGGGTTGGATTGTTCATGCCAGGTTTAGACCATTGCAAGGGGACTTGAGCCAGGTTAGACTGCCAGAGCCGTCACTCTGGTGTTCTAACCCAGCCCCAGGCACGTGGCTTGAGACCACAACAAAGAGTCGGATTGCCAAAAGTGCCTCCCTTGACAGAATTCCACTGTGCATCCTAGAATTCCACCATGAATACCATAAAATGGGGTAATAAGGGATGGGCAGGGTAAATCGGGACAGTCCTCCACTGAGTGAGTCTGCTGCGGTGTAAAAATATTACAGCAGTGAATCGAATTGAAATATTTCACAAATAAAAATAGTGGCACCAACTTCAGCATTTTTCCTAAATATGTAACATAAAGATGAAAGTTGAGAAAAAATACATTTGCTAGCTCAGAAAAATCTTGGAATAAATGTTTGGAATAAAGGAACACCTCTACAGGACAATATGAGACACCCCTAAAAATGCATTTACAGTAGAACCATGGTTAGCAAAGGCTCCAGTTAATGAAAAAAAAATTGTTAACAACAAAGAATTTTGAGAACATTTACCTTACACAGCAAGAAAAATTTTCCCTTATGAAAAATTAATGCATCACCGGTCATCACAAAATTGTGCATAGAATGTCATAGATAGAGTTTATGATCTTTTTTGTGATAGTGAATGAACTTGAACCAATTAAAATTGTGCAAAAGTACAAGCTCAGTCCTGTAAGCTTATAGATACAGAAAAAAATCTTATATATATGGCTGCTGATATGAAGCTTGCAGTGGACAGGTTGTTGTCAATGATCAATGGCTTGTCCATGTATATGGTAATATCACATCAATAACATGGTAATGTATGAATATGGTAATATCATGTTATTCATGTTAATAAAGTAAAAACAAGTACAAATCAAAGGAAAAGTCATTTATTCTGCAACTACCTTATCCTCAAAAGAAGAGGAGGACTTCTGAGTACTGTTTGTAATGGATGAGTACACTCTGCATGCTTTAAATGTTTTAAAATTAGAAAATTCGTTTTATTTCAAGTGTCCCAAGTTACCCATATTCTCAGGGGTAATTTTGGATGCTTTTCTTTTGCATCTGGCACCTTACAAAAAGCATTTTATTCAGAGATGCCATACAATAGCCCTTGCAAAGACATATAAATTGAGTCCAAACTTGTTTATGAAATATTTCATGATAAGAAGTTATTAACCCTTTCACGGGTAAGTTACCATATATGATCACTTGAAATTGCGTCACAAAAAGCCTCACCACGGCTTCCTGTTTGTTTTTGAGGCATCCTTATAATGCCTCAGTCAATCACTAATTATCTGACCATCGTTCTATCTATAGCATCACCAACTGCAAAGTTCCAAGTTACCCATATTCTCAGGGGTAATTTTGGATGCTTTTCTTTTGCATCTGGCACCTTATGAAAAGCATTTTATTCAGAGATGCCATACAATAGCCCTTGCAACGACATATAAAATGCATCCAAACTTGTTTATGAAATATTTCATGATAAGAAGTTATTAATGAAAAATGCTCAAAATTGTCCCTTATTACCCCATTTGATACTATATTACCTATTTTTAATCCACCTTGGCCAGGTTTTCAGTCAAAATTGATGTTTTGGAGGAATTAAAGTTTCATGTGAAAGAATGAAAGTGGCTAAATTTGAAAATTTTAATGGACTAAAAAATAAAACACTGCTAGATAAATTGAAAAACACCACATGATTTATACATGCCTAAGTTCTCAAAATCATGCCTCTCCTCACTTATTTATAAAAGTAATTCACACCTATAATAATGAAAATTTTGAAAAAAGTCAAGACATTCAAAAAACCACAATGTTAGACAAAAATATTCTTGAGCCCTGTTTTGTTTTCAGTATTATCTGAAGTTAAGTTTGTAAAAAGAAGTGGTTAAACTTTGAAACAACTTTTCATCATCCACTTCATGTGCCAACTGCCAATGGCATTGTGCCCTGGTGGCCAGGGTGGAATTTAGCAGGTATAATGTATAAACCAGTCCATTTTTATTGGATATTGATGATGCTTAAATTACAAACAACTCTGCCATTTTATTTTTTAATTTAAATGCTCTTTTCATATTATTTTCAGATATATAACCTATGTCCTGTAGTTCAGTAATTTTTTGGCTAATGTTGCAATCGCTATAATATCCTAATGCTTAATTTATAAGTAGGTACTTATACTGTCTGTGCTGCAATGACTGCTAGTTTAGCTCATGCCAGTTGGCCTGTGTATCATAAAAATGACGTGGCCAGCATCATACACCACATGAATGAGGAAGGATTTGATCGATGTTTGTCAACAGAACTGGAGGAGAACCTGCCTCCCAACATCTTTTTTATAGTAAGTTGTAATCAATTTTTTATCTTAACTTGAGCTGAAAAAATAGGGATTCTTATTAAATTATTTAAACTATGTTTTTTTTATAACTTGTAATTTTATACTCAAATTAAGCTAGATTTGAAAGAAAAATTTTATTTCCTTTAATTCAATCATTTAATAGCTTCTTGTTCAACTGAAAGGTATTGGAACCTTCAGAAAGTGGCTGCATAATATAGCCATACAGTAGTTTGTTGTCAGCCATTTAATGTCTCAATAGATCTGTATAATGTCTATATTCCTAATCTTAGTATATAAACAATTTATGTTATCAGAATGCATTTGAAACAGCTGATGTCTGATATTTGAGATGCTTTAATGTTGCCCAATATTAAAACCATGGAGGCTTAAAATAAAAACTGTTTCAAACCTTCAAAGAATCTCTCTAGGCTATACATATGTATACATGATAGCAAATAATTTATTTGAAGGAGACAAAAGAAGTACCACAATCAAAATGGCCAGTGTGAGTTAAATTGTCTAAACATATAGGTAACTGCAAATTTAATCCTGATGCTAAAATTCTTATGCATGGAGAAAACAAAATGCCCTTTTTTTGCTGCCAAGTTGTAAGTTGAGTTTTTTTTTCAGGCATGCTTCCCACCTCAAATCCACAAGAAAAAGGCCAATGTAAACCTCTTGCGACTAAGTCTGAGAGATGGTGAGTTGAAATATTTTTCTACTTCTTTAACACCTACATTGAATTGTTAGCAAATATTCAAATGATTTTGTTTTCTAGTGTCCTGATATAAAGATTGTTGAGGATTTTTCAATTATTAAGGTTTTTGATGTGCTGTGGTGGAAGCAAAAAGCTTGCAACCAAATTTTTTCAATTAGTATTTGAAAACTAATTGTTAATTTCAAATTTTCCAAATCAATTAATAGAATAAGATCAATTTGCAAGAGTTCTTTTTTGTGGTCAAATTAATTTGTGAATATTTGAATAGTATAATTTGATAATAATTTATACGTATCTTCCCTCACTAATGTCTTGAGTCACTCCCAAATATACGGTACCTAGTAGCCCATCAGAAGCATTTACTCATTGACAAGCAATCCTAGAAAATTCTTAAATTCCCATTTGTATCAATTGGTATTTGCTCTATATTCTTGGATATATGATTCTCCAATTCAAAACAAAGCCTTTTGGAGAAGTGAAAGCAACATTAACTTTCTAAATGGTGTTGTCGAGGTAGAAGGAAAGTTATAATTTTATCAGAAAATAAAACTCATAAAATGTGAACCATGCTGCTGTCCTTGAGGACCAAGAGTGGCCCCTGGGCCCTAGGATATTACTGGATAATTAATAAGTTTGCTTGTTATTAATTTAACTTTGTATAGTTCCAGCGGATCTTGAAGACCAAGAGCAGTCCCTGGGCCCTGAAATATTGCTGGATGTGACGGGTGTGGCAGGATCCCAACTACTGTCCGTGCCTGAAGGGCAGCAGGGAATAAATCAATCTCCAGCCACCTTGGGTTCATGTTCAGTTTTTTTGTGCCTGACCCACTTCAAGGCTAAAAAGTTAGTTATTGTACTGCCTTGTTTGAATGTTCTTTTTCTAATGTGATACTCAAGGAGTTGAAAAGATTACCTATTCAGTTCTCCACATTTGGTTTTATATTTTTATATTGAGCAAGTTTTAGCCAGAAAGTAGTAATAATGCTGCTGAAGTAATCCTCAGCATTTCAAATCTCAGTAAACCTTTTTGAAATTCAGCTCATGTATAAAAATATTTCTATTTGCCACTAATCCCTTGCTCTGAGTTCTTTCCAATGTGATTCCTTCACCAAGCCAATTATAATTATACTCCACTCCTAAATGAGATTACTGCACTGTCTGAAATTTATAATGTTATAACAGATGTTCATAAATAATTGGTGCACATTCACATAAAATATGGTTACTTTTAATGCCAAGATTTATTTTGTTGTGAGACCTTGTGCATTGTTGTTAATGTAGTGCGTTTCATGTACTGTTTAAAAATTATTTTAACTTACGTTCTAATTACTATACTCAACTGATTGGTATACCAGGCATATAAAAAAACAACTTGCTTCTTGTTAATATATCTGATCAGAAACTAGTTGAAAATGATTAACTGCAAGTGCATAAGCCCTGCCAAAAATGTTCTGTAGCTGCTAGACAACAATTCGTGGCATCAGTTTGCTGCTTGATATCTGCCACAGCTGAGCTCTAAAGCTTTCTCTCTGGACATATGGGATCATATATATATATATTTTATTGACAAAAAAATGTAGATATTTGTAATCTAATACTATTAATCATCCTCTTAGTATTGAAATAATAAGAGTTCGTTAGAATTCTCATTAATAAAAGTCCAGATGTATTTGGGAATTGTGTTGTTCTGCTTGAGAGAGCAAGTATTGAGGAAATTTTGCAAATTCCTGTAACTTGTTTTTTTTTTCTATTGAGGATGTTTCTTATGTTAATTGCCTCAAATTGTGTTTTTTTTATTGCAGATTCAACAGCTACAAGTTCCTTGAAAATCGACTTTGTCTGAAACTGGCTTGTGACGCTACCAATATTCATGCGTTCCTCATCATGCCTCCACTAGCTGCATCAAATATCCAGAGACCAAAGATTTCTTCTAATTCTCATGTAAATAACGGAGATAATGGTCCTGCAATTGCACCAACTGGAAAGGTGCCAAATGAACCAAATCAGCCCCAACCTTGTGGTTCAAGAATTAAAGACCAAAACTCTAATGTTAATAATCGAAGTCTTAGCTCAAGGGATTTTATGTCAGTTCCAAAGGGCAAGAAAGTACATTTTAAAACTCTTAGGCCTTGTGCCAATATTACGGCCGCAACTTCTCCTGCCCGAGATCAGACCCCAGCATTGATGACTTCTACCCGAGATCAGGCCCCAACGTTGATGANCGTTGATGACTTCTACTGCCCGAGTTCAGACCCCAGCGTTGCTGACTTCTCCTGCCCGAGTTCAGGCCCCAGCGTTGATGACTTCTCCTGCCCGAGTTCAGGCCCCAGCATTGCTGACTTCTGCCCGAGTTCAGGCCCCAGCGTTGATGACTTCTCCTACCCGAGTTCAGGCCCCAGCGTTGATGACATCTCCTGCCCGAGTTCAGGCCCCAGCGTTGATGACTTCTCCTGCCCAAGTTCAGGCCCCAGCATTTATGGCTTCATCAACAGCTCCTTCTGTTCGGCCCCAGGCCACTTCATCGATGGCTTCTACATCACGGTCCAAAGCCACAGTGCGACCTGCTAGAGCCTGGAATATAACTCCAATAAAGAGAATTCAGCTCAAGTCTGTTGCTAACTTATTAGGAATAATTGAAGATATCGTTTTTCCCCCTGCATTCATTCCATCAAATATGGCTGGTCGAAGGACTATCTTCAGCGTCGTGGACCAATCCTGCTCCTCAAACTCGGACTCAATTCTAATCACAGCTTTCCAAAACTCAAGTAGATCCGTCTTATCGCGACCTTTAAACGTAGGTGACATCGTGCTTTTGAAGAGCGTCAGCCCGAAGATGTATCAGGACGAACTAAGAGGATCAGTACGCTGCTCTGAGACCCAGGGAGTAGACAGTATAGTCATTGAGTCCACACGCATCACCGATGATGATGATGAAATCATCAACCCACATCCTGACTTTCTTTCTCTGCAAGATAAACTCCAGAGCCTTCGCCTTTGGTGGAAGGAGCAGCGAGAAATTTTCATTGGTGATCGCAGCGTGCCAACAAATTTTATTTCCTCTCTGCCGGCCGTCGATTATCCGTATTTGCCTTATGTGCCTAACATGAACTTGGAGATAGCTAAGTGTCGCGAGACTGTCGTATGCAATATATACTGTCAAGTTGTGCGGGTGCACTTGGTCAACCCCTGTGGTATTGTGATGCTCGAAGTCAAAGATGGCACTAAACCAGCTAGTAAAAAACAGTGCGTGCCTCACGATATACTCTGCAGAGCAGCAATTACCTCAAAGGCCGTGTTGCTTCCCTCCAGCGAAGTTGAGCGTCTCATCTCAGAGGCTCCTTTTGAAGAAGAAACGGACGATAAAACCGTTAAAGTCTTCGCGGGACCTAAACTTATCAGTTATGCTCGCCACATAGTGGCTGGAGATTTCGTTTTCCTGCGTCAAGTAAGCGTAGTGAAAGATGCTAACGATGGAGCAATTTATTTCACTATGCTTGAGGACAATTACTCATGCATTGTTAAACTTTGTAATGATCATCCTGAAAAAATAAAACTTGAAACTCGGTTTGAGAATGAACAGCCCTGCAATGAAAGTCGGCGTGAAAATGAACAGCCTTCTTGTTCTCGAACATCTGCCGTCAGCGTTGAACGGTCTGGTGCTGCCTCTCATTCAGCAGAACTTCCGAGCGATCAGGAAAGAGATATTGCATTTATTAATAGCCGTAACTTGGTTTCTGTTGCGGTACAAACAACTGGCATTTTCTTGTATTCAAATGGAATTTATATTCCTGCTATTCCTGTTGGTAACGATCGTCCTACTGGAACAATCCTGGAGAGAGAAATCGGATTAGTCGGGGAGCGATTACGACTAGGTGAGACTGTCATGGATGTCCCCGAACAGCTTGAAGACGGCGAACGAAACATGATTGAGGAAAACGCAGCAGGGGCGACTATGTCAAACCCGCCGGATAATTACATTCAAGAAACCACTTCACGTCGAAATCAGACTGACGTGAATGTCCTCGAACAGCTCCAAGACGGCGAACGAAACATGATTGAGGAAAACGCAGCAGGGGCGACTATGTCAAACCCGCCGGATAATTACATTCAAGAAACCTCTTCACTTCGAAATCAGACTGACATGGATGTCCCCGAACTGCTTGAAGACGGTGAACGAAACTTGATTGAGGAAATTGCAGCTGGTGCGACTACGTCAAACCCGCCGGATAATTGCATTAAAGAAACCTCTTCACTACGAAATCTTGCCTCCTCCAAGAACTGTTTGTTCTTTAAAGGAGCTTTCTATTCCTCTTCGCAAATCGCAAAACAGAAAAACTGTATGGCAGAAGCTAACAACTTGGGACAGTCATTGAAAAATGATGCTTTGGAGCGTGCGACAAATCTGCCTTCTGGCAGGAAGCTCCGTTCCAATGTTCAGGCACCTGTTGTCTCGGCACAAGACTCCCAGGATAACACAGACGAGTCTTCTGAAGAGATCGCTCCCGAGCCGGGAACTACCCATGAACTTCGTAGCAGCTCTCAAACGAAAGCTAATTTCCAAACGGACAAAGACCAAATTTCTGCGGGTAAAAGCAGCTCACGGCAACAACCTACGCACGGCAATCAGCAGCAGGGAGATGGAAAGAAAACTGGAGCTGCCCATACCTCGGCATTACGCAGTCAGGAGACGCGCATCGTTACAAGGAGTCAGCTATCCCGGTCATCTAGTGAGACTTCCAGCATTTACTTGACTCCGTATGAAAATTTAGATGACGTGCCACATAGCAATTTATTGCTAAACATGGTTTCTTCTCGCAAAGGTCTCAAACCTGAGGCTCCTCGAAAATTACTTGAATGCACTCATGAAGACAATGATTCACTAGAAAACTCTTCAGATTCGTCACGTTATCCAAGTCCAGCGAACTCAAGGAACCTCTCGACTCGATCTACTTCACAACGCCAGCGAAGTTCAAGCGAATTACGTCTTAGTGATCGTTCACAAAGTATCGAATCTGATTCCCATTGTTCTGCCTGCTACGTTCCTTTTAATTCTTATGAGACGGGCTCTAAATCACGTAAGTCGAAAAAAAGCCATAAAATAAAGAGTTCTGCTGCGCGTGCACCGATGCTATCTAGCTTAAGCTCTCCTGAATCTCATAACGCTGCTGGGTCGCGTGCTGATTTGTCTTCATCGGCTCACAATTATGCCACTCGAAGTCGCCGTTCATTCAATCATGATGGAAAGAAAGGAAGACTTCATGTAACGCCCGCTGACAACCCCCAACCAGTTGATGATGTCAGTACCGGACGACGTGGCACGAGAAAAAGGTTTGCTGTTAACTCAACATTTGAAAGTAGTGATGATGGTTCCCAGTCTTTGAAAACGAAAAGAATGAAGTACGATTCTATGCCTGGTACCTCTTCGTCAGCTTTGCAACCATTCGAACAACTTTCAAAGGTCAGTGTCGCGTCACGGACCGCGTACAGGAGTATCGCACCGAGATCAACTGGTGATGGGTCTCCTAATGCTAACATGGAAGTCGAGTTGTTTGATGCATCTGGAGATGAGAGTTGCGACGGCGCTGTGAGAACAATGAGGCAGAAGGTTAAAACTGATGCATCACAAGATGGAAATTACGACGATGGCTTGCGCAGGGCAAGAAAAAAGCTTAAAGTTGCTTCATTTGAAGATGCAAGGTACGATGGTGGTCTAAGCAAAGTGAGGCAAAGGTCTCAAGATGAAGGTTCCTGCAGTGGCATGAGGAGAGTGAGGCAAATACGAGAGAGTGAAAGTTCCGATGATGATGTTAGTAGGATGAGGCGAAGATCGAAGCTCGATGAATCGCAACATGAAACTTCCAATGGTGTTGTTAGGAAGGTGAGGCAAAGGCCCAAACTTGATGAAATGCAAGGGGAAAGTTCCGACGGTGGCATGGGGAGGGTGAGGGTAAAATTGAAGGAAAGAATAGAGGGTTCAGACCATCACAGTGTGATGTAGTTCAGGACTACATACGTATTCTTTATTGCGGCATGTGCTGCTGATTGTGATGTGAATTACGTGCAAATTACTAATTCATGTGTTCATTATATGAACTCGTTATTAATATGATGATATATTTTGGCTTAATAGAATGAAATTTGTTTCACAAAGAGGTTTTTATTTCATTTTGTAAGGGTACCTGAAAAAATGAATTATTATTTAGAAGAATAAGCCGTATTTTGAATGTTAGAAACCGTTTACAGAAACTTTAAGGATAGCTGAAAGAAAAGAGCGTTTGTTTAATGAGCTAATATCTAATATTACATTTATCTTTGCAATAGTGGTAGTGAGCTCGCCGTCTGTACACATCCTAATATAAATATTGAATAAATCTGTTCTGTCGGGTAAAACTTTGTACATTTTCTATTAAACGTATTTTTACTTATTGGTAACTCAATAATGGTAGTTCTTATTTTACTATAAGTATTGAATAATAAATAGACGTGCGTTGGAAAAACGTAATGCCAATGCTTATTATATATGTGAAAAACTGGTGCTCAGTGGCAAAATATGACTCTTATTATATGACAATATGTCTTAAAATATGACTAGGCAAAATATGACTCTTACAGAGACGTGAAAACCTTCTCGTACTCGTTCGTTTCTTGCTCCGTAGTTCCGTCAATAACATGATTTGTGCAGAGTTAGGATTTTTTAGAGTTTGATTGTTTATCGCTCGACCTTGAATCTTGATTTTGCTCTTGTATGACTTCTTTGTTAACATGAGTTCAGACTGCTAAGTTATGTTTTTATTCGAGTTTGATTGTCTATAAACGGGAATTTGTTCATACTCGCGTATGGATTCTTTATTAACGCGAGCTGGTGTCTCAAATAATTTATTTCTTCGATTAACATGCGCGCTGTGTGCAGGATAATGTTTTTTTTTTTTATTTTGATTATTTATAAATATACGAAATGTCTTGCTTGAATCAACTATCATGTGAATTTTTTTAAGCTATGTGTCCAAAGTTTTTTTTTTCTAGTTTAATCTTCTATATAGGAAATGTATGGCTTTCTTTAACTCACGCTTGAATTCTTCATTAATATGAAAAATTTTTCGAGTATGATTTCGATATTAGGAATTTATAAGTTAACTTCACTACCGTTGTTAGTTTGAATTCTTTTTTTCTCACAGCAACTTTGCTTACATTTTTCTTTGCATATAATAGCGATTTATTTTTGAAAGTTGTTACTTCTTCCTGTTTTTTTTATAACACTAAGTCTTTTTTCGAGAACGGAACAGTTCAGAGGCAGTTTATTTAATACGTTAATGTATTGCAAGTTCCGCCTTACAATGATGATTAGTTTGTGATCTGTCCACGTTATTAATTCATTTAAATACAACGCTCTGGCCCACTCTACGGCTCGATTATGTAACAGCTTAGCATTCGTTCTTTATCAATACATTTAGCGTCAGTAAAAAATGCATGGGCATTAGCAAATATCTGAAATTACTAATATTGGTGATAAATTGAAGTTGGTTTGTAGACACTATCCGGTTGCATAACAAATGTGAATAAGACAGAATTGTTAGGTGGGGGTTTGTAACAAGGAATCCATCTTAATGTCAGCGGAAATTAGTACAAGTTAACGGAATAAATTAATTTCCTTCTCCTTTTCTCTACTTGTAAAAACTTCAACTCATTTGCAGCTTAGTTGCTTTGAAGTTCGGCATTTGGTGAGTCCATTGCTCATGCTTCTAGATTAATGATAGTTTATAATAATTATTTACGGTAATATCATTTCATGTAACATAAAAAATATTGGCCAAGTAACGCGAATAAGGTTGCGGTTACGGACAAGGTTTAATTTATCCACAGAAAAATGTTAATGCGTCTTTAAATCCTGCCGATGTCAACCTGAGTAATAAATATCGAGTCTTTAATTTAAATGAAGTCTGATACGTTTTGCAAATAATATATATATGTATGCACTTGTATTATAATTTTGTACTGCTGGAAGTTCTAATGCACTGCAATAAAATAGAAAGGTTTATCAATTTACAGGCGTACACATAAAACTTCAACGACGATCGAGAATCTTTATTGAAAAACCAAAGCACCATAAACAAATAAACCTTGTTATAGAGATGCAAACGATCTACCGGTATACTTTATTTATAAATTAGTTTCATGCCTCAACAAAATGGAATAAAGTTCGAAGCAACGATTTGGATTACTAAATAATGTACAAAGGTTCAGTAATAAACTCGTATCGATTTGTTATGTTACTTCCTACTCGACTTCCAGAACTCCAGAACTTCTACTGTAGTTTTTTGACCCTTTTATTTGTAACTAATGTTTATAAACCGAATATGTTGAGTTCTTTTATTTACATTTTTACCACCATGATGTCAATATAAATTGTTTCCTAGGCTTAAATCCATTTCGGAAATGTAGATCGGATCGCAAATATTAATACGAAAAATCCATTCCATTTCAAATTTGTAAAAAGGTTAGAGTTAACAACCTCTTGCCCGAGGACAACATCACTCAGGAAAATAATTCATTGTGTGAAAATTGATTCCTGCCGAGATATCACACGGGCCGACCAAAATCTCGTTTCAATGACTCCCTTGTGAATCAAGTCACGAAAAGTTCAAGAATCGGCAACAGGCCATGGGCCTATGTCTTCAACGCGGACACTTCTATTCTATTCTATTCTATTCAATGACACTCATATCATCCCTTAGAATTTTGACAGTTATCTATTCCTTAGGGTTATTCAAAATTTCGAATTCATGCTTTCCCTCTCATTAATATTTGCATATGAGAAAACATTGAATCACAATTCTCGCATAACGAAAGCCTAAAGAAAAATATCCGACGGAACAATTAACTTAATAATAACTATCATCATTCACAGACAATAAGTTCGAGTAGCTAATGTATCGAACAACAATGAATAAGACAGTGACAACAAATGTATATAATCACGCAACACTGGCATGACGAAGAACACGTTTAAAGTTAACAAGCGATGCAAGACACAGCCCCATAAACCATAAATCATTACCATGGGCTAAACCAACCTAGATTATTGTTTGACCAGACAAATCTTGTTGAAAAATCGCTAATGTTCTATGTATTATTACTGTACTGATACATTAGTGCCACTGACGCTCAAAGATCGTAAATGATTGAGAGTTAAAACTTAATTTCTAAAGATTATGCACTTCCAAAAAACTATCATTAAGATAAAACGCCCAAATGAACACAATATATCCGTGCTTCCGTGAAAGTTCCTCAACACGGCAATTTCGCGAAACGCGCGTCAAAAATCATAGTGAGACAAAAAGTTTCACATACTCCGTTTCGTTTAGTTAGAATGTCATTAATTTTAATGCAGTGAAATAAATACTCGAAGCCTTTCATGCAAATCTCCTAGCAAGACCTTCAGCAAACTTTACATTGTGTTCATATGAACATTTCCTCTAGAAGACGTAACGCTAAAAGCGAAGATTAACTAAGGTATATAGCAAACACAAGAGATAATTAATGAACGTTGCGTTAAAAATAAAATAATAAAATTAATACGTAATAAAAATAATAACGTTGCGTTATTTTGCATCTCATCAGATGATAATCAACGCTTAAAAATCATCGGTAGAAGCGATATGTTTTCATTAATTTGTCGCAGGATCCATACTGAATGAAGACCAGGATTCTGGGTATTGATGGCTAATATCAACTAATTGCAAGGAGCAAGAATTCAGATCCATGAATATGATCTCATCAGAGATCCATGGCACTAAATTAAAAAGATAGTCTATATAGCCTGCTCTGCAACCGACGGCTGAACTTCCACACGGTCTCGTGGCTCGAGCTTCCCTAAAGATTTGTTAACAATGATTGTTATTATCATTATTATTTTTAACAATGATAATGCTCCCTAATAAATTATTTTATTTTATTTATTTATAAATAATGCCCAATTTATTATTAATAAATGAACACTTAACTTGACTTCTTAACACAATTTTTTGTGCAATGTTTAGTTTTAGATGGCATACTAATAATAATTTTAGACGGTATATTATAATGTATTATTAATAGCACAAACACGCATCGACAAACATAGCAACAACAAATTTGTTTCTTGTTCCCTAGTCGACTCCCTAAGAATTTCCTTTGCTTACCACAGGCATAGTTGCCGCGGCCTGAAATTTCCAAATCGAGAGTCACGTTATACAAGCATGTTGATTTATCTTCTCGATTCCTGGCACAGATTTTCCGACGAATTTTGCTTTGAATATTTTTTGGGCTAAACCTTATTGATTGCAACCGCACGCTAGATACGTTCTATTGAACTCGTTCCCAGTCAATAAATTTGTATAAATGAAAGCTCTAAAGCTTCCAACTGTACGACCGCAAAACAAATAGCTGATCATTAATAAGTATTTACACGCATTGCCACTACAAAGCTTCTTCCTAACTCAACTAAAGGCATTAAATTGCAGCATGGAAGAGCTTTGAAATCGCCGGTCCCTCGGGTTTTTCTTCTTTAATTACGCTCAGGTTTCCGCATAGAAATGTGCGCCGTGTACGAAGGTTAATTTTAATGGAGAGATAACCTTATCGAAATCAGAGTATTTTTTCGCTTTTATAAGATTAATTCCGCTGTAGTTTTGCCCGAATTTAATTTGAACCGCCTGAACTACGAACTTGTCATGTCGAACAATATATAATGCAAGAAGTCTATTGAGAAAATGACAGTCTATATATGTCTCATTATATACCTCACACTAAGCGGAGTTTACTAGTCTAGTGTTATAGATGTAGAATTACTATTGCTAGGAGAGACGATTCTTCATTTAGTAAATTATGCTATGATTTGCAAGAGCACCACTCAGACTATGGAACAATATATGCATAATAAGAAGGAAACTACGATACGATGGTCTGTTCCCACGAGGCATCTCACGTTGAAATAGCTTTAATTAAAGTTCGTTTCAACGATGTCAACTCGTAATCAATGATATTTCAACGTCATTTGCCTGGAGAGTTTGAGAGACTATGCAGAAGATTGAATATAAGGAATGACGAGTTAACATACACATTCTCAGGGTAAGAGCTACCTGATTTACCTATTTCAGTTCTCACTTACATATAAGCTTGCCCTGATCTCTACCGTCCCTCCCTGATACGCAATGCGCTTCCAATTAAATATTCTAAGCAGGACGTAAACTTCAACATTACTTTTATAATTTTTGAGCTAAGTCTGTCTTAGAAACTACATATCACACCACGTCGCATTGAAACCGTTCTCGATATTGTGTTGTTTATAGAGAAGAAAATCTGCCCTTATATTATATCTTAGCTCAACATCTAGAATTATATTTTTATTTAAACCAATTTATCCGCTCGAAATCTGATTTTATTATCAGAATTGCCCTCTCGCTTTTTCCTTATAATATTTTTTAATTTTCATCAACCGGGCTCAATATAACATCTCCCAAAATTTACTAGCTCTATTTTCCTTAGACGCGGCGCTATCATCAGACAAATATGAAATAACTTCGCTTGCTTGCACAACGACAATTCTATTATCACAACCACATTAGCGTTAGACTTATCCATGAACATTCAGCTACACAAGCTTTGTACTCAGCTCAACGTACATCTTCCATCATATCACACTTACGTCTCCTCCACCTATATATTTTTTGATGTGCAAGTAGCAGTCAATATACACGGCAATTTAGAATGATTTGTGAATGCTTAAAGTCTTCTGAAAATGGAATGTGTAGGAACGTAGTCTTTAGATGACGTAATGTGAGGGTTATAATTTGCAAAATGGTGTATCTGATCATGTTTTCTTGTGGATCTTTCTGACCACGGATATACGTAGATATTAAGCAACACGGTAATCTGTAGATCTTTAGAGCCATATATGATTATATGTCTTTCTTTTAGACCCCTCTCATCTTTATATCTGCAGAACCCAATTTATCAATAATTCTTCTGGACCACGGTTATATGTAGAACTTAAGAACCACTGTTATCTGTAATTCTTCATACCACAGTTCTATGTATATCATCTGAACCCCGGTTCTAGGGGCCACGGTTCTGGGTAGCATTAGTGATGTTTCCCTGAAGTTCTTAGGCGCTCTTCAGGAGGTTGCCCGCGCGATCGTTGGCCACCTTTATCCTGCCTTCGTTGGACGCCGCCTGGCATGAGGATATTAGAGGTTAAAATCCTGCATTCATTCAAAACATAATAAGAGTTGAAACTATTTACGTTGAAATACTGCTCTGCATAATTGCAATAAATTTAAGTATGATGCTCAGGTTACAACTAATATGATTTCAATTCAAATCTTCCGAGAGGCTGAAATAAGTTACTTAATTACAGAATTAATACGAAAAATTCCAATCGAAGAACAAGAGTCACGTATACTGAAAGCCGTTTAAAATAACACGTTACAGCCAATGTTGTGATATATTTTTATTAATTTCATTAACCTTCTCCCAGAATTGCTCATTAGAAAGATTAAACCTCCAACCAAAATAAGACATAGTGAAATTTGTTTAAACAATCTGAATTATTAATGAAGTTATTTTGATATAATGAAATAATACAGCGATGTCAGCTTTAATTTGGCAACGTTGGCCTGCAGGCCACCGGTTCCTAATTACCTGGATACCTTGCCGAGAGCTCATGTGAATTGGAAACAGAAAAATAAATTTCACAGCCAGTTGTGGGTTTCGAACCCTCAATTCATTGCCGGATCTTAACCACTAGGCCATGCCGAGCAATTTTAAGCACTCCACTAATTTTAGAACCTGACCTTGGCATCAAGTCTGGCGAGTTGTCTGTTCTGATTGTCGATCTCAGAGCCCATGTCGATAGCCATGTTGCGCAGATTATCCATCATCGTGTTAACCTGGCCCAGATTCTCCTCCATCTCGTCCTCGAGCGCGTCTTTTGTGATGCTGCACAAAGAATAAAATATCAATCATTGTCTTAACCTGGGATAAGCTAACCTTCATCGTGTCAACCTGGGACAGGTTATCCATCACCATGGTTAACCTGGGACAGGTGATCCATCACCATGCTTAACCTAGGACAGGTTATCCATCACAATTCTTAACCTTCACCATGGTTAACCTTGGATAGTTTGTATTCATCGTCTTGTTCTCGAACGCGTCCTCTGTGATTGTGAGCGCGTCTCGAGATAGATAAATTGAAAGGTTATTCATATTCCTACAGACGATATCAAAAATAATATCACAGTAATATTCCCATATTCCCATGCAGAATGGTTATATACAAGCAACTGACCGTCCTACTTGAGGACACGGCAGCATGACTTGGTTCTCGAGGCGCTGCGGTTGACTGTTAACAACCCCGTCACCCTTGTCCTTCCAGGGGTCGCTCTCCTCCTTGAACTGCGCAGACCTGCCGGGGCACTCGTGTCAACTAATTCTTACGTCCACTAATTCTTAACTAATACTAACTAAGTGGAAACTAATTCTTACGTCCACTAATTCTCAACTAATACTAACTAAGTGGAAACTAATTCTTACGTCCACTCATACAGTAAGCAGGCTGGCCCAAACGCTACAGTTACAGACTATAGGCTGGCCCAAGGGCAGGCTACTAGGGCTACTAGGATTGGAGCAGTGAGCTGTGGGTTCGATCACAGCTTTGTGCACCAGTTTCTGGATAGTAATAGTTCAAGCTGAGCGGTTAAGCCCATCAGAATTGGAGCTTCGATGTCGGTCACCGATGTTAAGAATCGGTGACCGACAGGTCTAACGACCTAATCAACGCTTAAATCGCCATTATTAATATTATTATGTCGCTAGTGTGACCCAATGGATCGAAGTCGCAGTGACACACTTTCTTACCCACGGCATGAGCAGGGAACGGAAGAGAGTAGATCACCGATACGCCCTTTTGCAGCGCCTAACTAGGTAAATATGAGCTACAAAGTGCATCACTATTTATGTAGTTCCACTCAATTCTCTTAGTGAAGAAAGGTGTACACTAACTAATTTACTGGCAGCAATTCAGCGCTAATGAAAGAATAGTTCGTAAAGGATTGTCGATTTTCCACAAAACGGTTGGGAAGGATTAGCTAAAAATGTGATCACACGACGTGTGGGAAAATAATTTATCTATTTGAATGACAAATTTGAGCTGTATTAATCCAAGGCAAGTATAACAATAGGGCGTTATTGACCTCCTTATTTCCATTCCTTAAACAACGCGTAAAAAATATAATAATTATAACTGTAGACATACTTCTGGCAGGGCAGCACACACAGGCCGCAGCAGCCCTCCATGCCGGACAGGTTCTTCTCGGCTTCCTTCATGTCGGCGTTGATCTGGTCCATACCCTCCTCAATGCGGTCCAGTTGCTCTGTGCACCATTAAAATAATAGCAAACTTTACGATCAAAACGATGAGAAACTCTATCGAGAGTTTACCACCCACTCTGCTTACAATCAAAGCGATGGGAAACGATCTCGTAAATCTATCGGCCGTTATTATTATAACGAGAGCAAAAAAGTAGCTTCCTAGCGAGTCTGCTGTCGTGACAACCTGACTGTTACGCCTCGTTACTTAATTTAACATTCCACGGTAATCAAGTATCCCCTTACGCAAGATAAGTCATCAATCACGTTTAAATTAAATTATATATATTAATTAAATTTAATACTAATTAAATGTATAAATTAATCCTCTATGGGACCATTTGCCTTTAGTTTGGAAACCACTGGCTCATATATCCACTTCAGTTTTTCTTTATTTAGAAAATATTAAACACGAAGGAAATTATTATTTGTTCAGAACCTTGGGCATTCACTCAATTTGACATAATCCAGGGATTAAAATAGAATCTAAAGCTCCAGAGTTGCGCTCACTCACCTCCTTGATCATCGAGGGCGACCAACGTGCGAATGCCAGCTTCTTTCGACTGAAAAATGAATAAATTTGATCAATATTGATTACTTCTAATGGATGAATTAAAGGAAAAATTTACAAATTTTATGGTATAATCTATTAAGACGATGAGAAAAGGCTGACACCTTTTTGATGCAAAATAAGAACAAATAATCAATAAATCCAATCACTTCGGGAAACAAAATACATCCAATCAGTGAAAAAAAATTCAATTTCTGAACTATTTTCTATGGGTCCTGACATCTTCACAGAGGCTGAGCATTCTATTCTATTCTATGCGACAAGTGCTGTCATCTATGCGGGAATAAAATATATCCAAACAATGCAACAAAGTATTTCAATTTCTGAGCTACATTCTAGCAAGCAAAATATTTCAATTTCTGAACTAGGAATACCGAAGAAAATATTATATTTCAGGTCTGATTTCTATGGTACTAACGTCATCGCATAGACTGAGCATACCGAAGAAAATATTATAGGAATTATTATTATTATTATAGTATATAGGAATACCGAAGAAAATATTATAATAATATAATTATTATAATATAATATATATTATATGTAATATATTATAATATTATAATGTCTATGGGTACTAACGTCCTCGCATAGACTGAGCATGCGACGAGTGCTCTCGAGGCTCTCGTTGGTGACGCGACTAGCATCATATTGCAGCTGCTCGAGCTCTGAACGCTGCACCGGCGCTTCTTCCTCCTGTAAAGGGGTGATGTTTATAATTTATTACATATAAAATCCCGGCACAATAATAACAACATTTAAAAGAGATCAATTCAAACAAATGCAGCATATACGAACTCTAGCCCATTTATACATTTGTCTTGAAGTATTTAAATACTAGCACATAATTAAAATTGTGGTGAATTATATGAATTCTAATAAGGTAATGAATTTTTTCCGAATCGTATAAGTACGAGCTCAATAATAAATTTGTCGTGAACGATATAAATTCTAGCTCATTAGTAAATTTGTCGCGAATTCAAGAAAGATTTGTCATCATAGCGCACCTTAGCAAATACAAATTAATGAATACGTCGCAAATTATACAGATTCTAGCACATTATAAAAACTTACGTGAATATAAAAAAGTTTCGTGAAAATAATGCGCATCATGAAGTACAAATTCATGAAATTTAATAAATTTGTCGTGAATGGATAAAAGATTCCTCAAAATAACACGCCTTATTAAACTCAAATTCTTGCACATGTTTGCCTTTAATTTAAGTAGAATTTTAAAAATAGCACGTCTTGATGAATACAAAATCTTGCACGCTGAATTTGTCGTGAATATAAGCATTTGTATATAGTGTTTATATATTCCCTATAATTAGCTCATTCTATAAGCATTTGTAAAGTGGTTATATATTTCCCTATAATTAGTTCATTCAACAAGCATTCATAATCAAGACCATGAAACAGCTAGTGTGTCTGTAAGCAAAGGTTTGTTTAAAGTCGATGTGTCAAGCACACGACGCCAGCGCCGTCGCTGGACTGGTGGCCTCTTTAGGAGCCTCAATATATATGGCCCCATGAGAGGCCCCTTTGACATGGCCTCTCTATACACTCAGAGAAATTATTGAAACTTCATCTGAATAGCGATGAACTTTTTGCCTTTGAGTAGGTCAATCCGACCTAGTTTGACCCGACATAAGTAGCGTATCAGTACAACATTCTTTCTCTGCTTGGCTTGTTGGTATCTTGGGATGGAAGAGCGTCACTATTTGGACGATTTGACCGATTCATTTTTTGAGTGTAGTGATCAAATGGACAAATACAATTTTAATCTGGCTCTTGCAACAGAGTAAAACTTCAATAACTTGATCCTCGTCCAGATTAACAAGAGTCAGAATTGAAACAAATAATTTGTATCGTTTCGTACCGGAATTTCAGCAGTATTCGGCATAATAAAATCACATAACAATATAAGCTCAAAAATCAATCAATAATCCAGGCTATTCCGTAACCAAATTTTTATTAAACCTTTCACACAGACAGGTAGCACTCCAAAGGACTTACGCAAACATATCAACATATTTCGATTTCGTAAAGACTGTAAGTAATTAGCCACTGGAATCTAAAAGGACTTTGAGCAAGAAATTATCGCAAGATAGCTATAGGGCATATTTTCCTTTATTTCATCCTTCAATTGAGACATTGAAAGATAATACGTTGTCACTCCTTATATATAATAGTGAGGAGCTAGGAAACTCGGGAGCATTTAGTAAAGATTCATATATTACTTAGAGCGAATATTATACGTTTTATGAAGTTTGTTGCAATTTATCCTCTTTGGACTCTGAATATTTATTGCACCTGAGACGATATTTGCAGCCTATATACATTAACTACCATTAATGCCACTAACTTCGTCACAGCACTTATGTCGCCGGCCTTTAACAGAAACGATCTATTTCGTTGATACAACAGAGCTACAACTTTCTAGCTCGATCAAAAAAGCTTCTTAGTTATCTTAGTTATTATGTGGTAATCGAACCCTGCAAATCTTAATTCTAACCGTAGCCAGTTTTATATATAACATAACATAGTGATGTCGGCTCTGAAGTGTAGGCCTGATGTGGCCTGTCGCCTATATATACTAGCACCTTACGAGCCTCGCAACAATTCCAGCAGTTATCTCAATCAATTCGTCAGTTATGAAAAAATCGGGTTCATAAGGCCGGATCCCTTGTGAATCAAGTCAAAAAATATAACTCAGTACTCACTGCAGTGAGTGACAGAGAGCGCATTTTCTCGTCGACGAAAACTTGAGGTCACGGACAGACAGACGGACAGACGGACATGACGAGTACAATAGTTAATTTTTTCCATAAATGAGAAAGTGTGCTAAAAATAGCAGGAATCGGCAACAGGCCATAGGCCTATTTCCTCAGTGCCGACATTTATATTTTATTCTATTGTATATGTTTTTATTGACGAGCGCGAGTTAAGTGCAATAGCGAAGTGGCGACTTATATGTATGTGTCAATGACGGTTCAAGATGTTATCTTCGTGCAGACCCTCAGCCTGAAATTCAGACCCCGGGCTGACGCCGTCTTTAAAACAACAGCATTTTCATAGTGTAGGCGATCGCCTCTGCTAGCAGAGGCTGGACATAGGCTATGCATGTCCTGTGTGTAGTAGTCCTTGGTATGATGCTCTTATTACATCTAATATGATTTCAATCAAATCTTATAAGAGGCTAAATAAGTTACTTAATTGTTGAATTGATACGAAATATTCCAATCGAAGTACAGGAGTCACGTAAGCTGAAAGCTGTTCAAAATGACACGATATACAGCGACGCGCGATCGTTAAAAATGACAAGATAATCAGTGTTTATTAGGCCATAGGCCTGTCGCAGATTCTCAACATCGCAGAACATTCACAGGTTGTTGCGGTCTTGAACACGCATCTAACTGCTCCAATTTTGCTTTGCTTAACCGCCCGGCATCCTCGCCGATTTTGACCAGAAACTATCGCAGGTAGCGGGGATCGAACCCGCATCTCTCTGCTACAACCCTGGTACTCTGAACTCTAACCTCTGGGTCACCCTAAAGTCAATATTGTGTTATTTTTTAATTACCCAAAGTTGCCCAATTTTTTCCAATTCCCAGAATTGTTCATTAGAAAGATTGAGCCACCAACCAAAATAATTCGGAGTGAAATTGGTTTAAACAATCTGAATAATTAATGAAATTATTTTGTATAATAAAATGTTACAGCGGTGTTTGACAACGTTGGCCAGCCGCCGGTTCTTAACCACCCGGATACCTTGCCGAGAGCTGATGTGAATTATAATTGATAAAATAAATTTCACGGCCAGTTGTGGGTTTCGAATCCCCAATTCGTTGCTGGATCTTAACCACTAGGCCATGCCGAGCAATTTTAAACGAACTCTAGCCCATTTATGCATTTGTCTTGAAGTATTTAAATACTAGCACACAATTAAATTGTGGTGAATTATATGAATTTTAAAACGTTAATGAATTTTTTCCGAATCGTATAACTTAACAAGTAACAAGTAACATGTTGACACTAGTAACAGGCTGAGGTTGACAACATTACACAGAAATCTTTCGTACAGTTTTATTCTGTAATTTATATTATGTATGTATCATGCTGGTTTTTAAATAATATTTAATACTATTAAGTAAAATCTAAAGGCTTTACCTATAAGTGTAGCGGTAGCGCTGTAGCGGCAAAACCTCGTATCGCTAGTTAAATATGTAGCGGACGCTACCGCTACAATTGCTTAAATGTAGCGCCGCTACCGCTACCGCTGCTGAAAATGTAGCGGCCGCTAGTGACGGCCGCTACATGTAGCGCGCCTCTGCGTATAAGTACTAGCTCATTAATAAATTTGTCGAGAACGATATAAATTCTAGCTCATTAGTAAATTTGTCGCGAATTCAAGAAAGATTTGTCATCATAGCGCACCTTAGCAAATACAAATTAATGAATACGTCGCAAATTATACAGATTCTAGCACATTATAAAAACTTACGTGAATATAAAAAAGTTTCGTGAAAATAATGCGCATCATGAAGTACAAATTCATGAAATTTAATAAATTTGTCGTGAATGGATAAAAGATTCCTCAAAATAACACGCCTTATTAAACTCAAATTCTTGCACATGTTTGCCTTTAATTTAAGTAGAATTTTAAAAATAGCACGTCTTGATGAATACAAAATCTTGCACGCTGAATTTGTCGTGAATATAAGCATTTGTATANAGGCCTATTTCCTCAGTGCCGACATTTATATTTTATTCTATTGTATATGTTTTTATTGACGAGCGCGAGTTAAGTGCAATAGCGAAGTGGCGACTTATATGTATGTGTCAATGACGGTTCAAGATGTTATCTTCGTGCAGACCCTCAGCCTGAAATTCAGACCCCGGGCTGACGCCGTCTGGTCTGTCTTATTGCTAACGCGCAAACGCTGGTAAATCCCAGAAATTGTTTGGCCATCTTTCCAAAGATTCATTTCTTTTTATCCTCTTTGTTCTAGTTTCTTGTGATCCAAAAGCGAATACAAAATTTAAATCCTTCGACATTCACACTACGATTGACTGAAAATTTAAGCACTTCTATATATTTTTCAAACCGATATCAATAGATTCAAAATTTGTTAACTGTTTCACTATTTTAAAACATTTCACATCGACTCAATGGTATAGCGTGGCCTATTCTATAAAACACCGGCGAGCAGATCCTTTACTATATATTTATATACTTCCTATACGGTTTATTTCCAGGGGAACCTAGGGGAACCATATATTATTGAGAATTAGTTGCTAGAAAAAAAGGCTCCCAGTAGAAATACGTCTAGTTACCACATTCTCTATATAGTTACTACATTATCTATATAGCTACTACATTCCCTATATAGTTACCACATTCCCTATATAGTTCCCGTTCATACTCCTTATATAGTTACCGTCTGCCAAAACACTAGTGCAAAATTTTTATCATAACTGCCATATTTTTTAGTACCAATAGAAGAAAGACGTTTCTGAGAGTGTTAATCACTTAACTCATTGTAATGTTAAAATAATAATAGACGAGTGTGGTGAACCTAACATGAATCAAGGCAAGTTCGACTCACCACCTCAGTACTCTTCACATTATAGGAATAATCCAGTGAAACAAAATTATTCCAATATAACTCACCTGATGGACTTCCTTCTTCTGCAGCACCATTTTGAATAACAGAAAAAAATGTTAGTAGGTCATTATAAAACACAATTATTACAAATTAAAGAATGGCAATAATAATGCTAACGTATGCATACATTTTATTGATTCGTGAAACTTATAAAGACGAATGACGAGAACAATTTTGTGGAGCATGATTAGAAGAAAAGTTTAAATGTTATCATGTACTAATAACAATTAAATTAGAATTCTGGTTTGTTGTTCTCCATCAACATGTATTGTTACGGAGAATTCACTAGTAGGTGAGACGAAATAAGAACTACTTAAAATTTGCGTTCAAGCGGTATCGAAATAAAATAAAATAGTCACTACTGATTCATATATTTTGGCAGGGGCTCCATTCCGATCACGAATCTTATCAAAGAGTATGACTCTTTTAACTGTGGATGTCGATTATAAGTTCTTGAGTTTCATCAAGCAGTTCTCGTAGTTAAGTCAAGATCCGACAAGCTAAAGGGTGACCCATTTCATTTGCATAGAGCCGACACACAAGTCTGCACGACTGAGTTAGCTGTAATTGAGACTCAAAGTTCGTTTTAAATTCATTTGTTTTCATGATAACACTTAAAATTGAGAGGCAATGTTAATAGTATTGTTGGGGGTCAGCCCTCTAAAGGTCGTTTTAAATTATTTTAACCTCGTTAAATTCACGATGTGCGTATAAATGCGGTCTTCAACCGATTAATGTAATTGAGTAACCACACTAAGACATTATTTTTCTAAATTGTTGTAGTGTATTTGAATCTTTGGGACTGAACAAATGAGTTGGGATAAAAAGTGCTGGCACTCTGTGAGCAAGCAAGGAATGTAGGAGCAGCATTAGGCGTCGAATGTACCATTGTGAATGTAAGAAAATCTCGTCAAAAATCAACAATTGTTAACATTCGAGGTCACGTCTATACTGAAAATTAAGATGGTAACGAGGAAACTTGAACCAGGCAAGATGCAAGCATATACGCAGAGAGTGCATAAAAATCGGAAAAAATGGATCACGCAATCGATTTCCATTCAAATCTGTGTAATTTATCAAATTTTTGTTTCTCGTAATTCTTATGTAGCTTGAAGTTACCTTATAAAGTATGTTGTCAGTTCTTCTTCACATATTTTGTATAAAGAATGACATGGCAGTGTGGGATGCGTCATTATTGCGTTTTGGATTAGATTTTTTAAGTAAACCATGATTTACAATGGATATTTAACGTCTGAAATTAAAGGGCACAACTAATGTAAGGTTATGAATATGTTGTCCGTAATCTAACAGCGAATAATCAATTCGGAAAGTGACACTATGCGATGCTTGAGAAATGAATACAGATTTCTTTCAGATAAACTCTGGGCATCTCACACTTCGCGAATGAATAAATGAACAGTCACGAGGGACCGAGAGGCTGCCATGCCAGTTTCTTTTTCTTAACCCAAACAAAAATGATTAATTTACCAGTCTAAACTAACAGCCTAAATGAATTCATCTTCTTCACACCATACAGCAAAATTTTCCACAATGGCACAGAACGTAACTTATACGCTTCGGCATTACCGAATTTTTATTATTCATGTCATTCATAAATTTGATATCAACATGCGCACTAGCATTAATTGTTTCGTTTATAAGAATGATTTGGAAGCATGTGATAATGGAAATTAAAAATGACCAAATTAGCTTGGCCATGTAGTGGAAGCTAGCATGCGACACGCTCATCACAGCATGCACTGACACGCTCACTGTGCCAAAGTTATTTCATTTTCTTATTCGCATCATGATTCTTTTTAAACATAAACTGAAATTGCATCCACATGATTAAATAATCGTCAAGCAACCACAATATTTCGTGAAACCATTCTTGTATCATAACGCAACAACCAAATTTCGTGAAGCCATTAATTATTATATTATTATAACATTTTGTTCATTAAAAATAATAGATTTTACGAGATAAAGGAGCCTTTTTGAAAACTCTCATCATCTTTATAAACGATAACGTTTTTCTTATCCCCATATAATGATATATGTATATATATATAACCGATTGATGGATGAAAAAATGAATAACACGTAGCTATTTCATGCTTAAGATATGATTTCTAAAATTTCTAATATCTAAACTAAGAGGGAGCATACAGATATATTGGAATATATTCATATTAATGATTATTATCTAGGTTTATAGAACACACAAATTAATCCTAGTGATAGAATGAACTAATTGTTAACTGTAAAGAGGGTGTCACACAGCACCCTTATTTTAATCTAATACTAAACCGAACAATAAAATAGAGCCTCATTATTAGTCATAGCACTCAATAACTTTCGGGTGCACTTATGTTCGCAATAGGAAATATCCATGATTTAAATGAAGTAGCTTTGTAACCAATCGTGTAAATAAATTTTGAATTTATCTTGAATTTATTGTTCAAAAATAAATTCAAAAGAGAAACTTTTGTTCAATGAGCTCATAAAGATCACTATATTCAGATTATAATACTGACGGACAACTAATGCTTAGTCAACAATATAAACGCAAACACAGCCATTTTTATGAACATATTGTTTTTTTCGATGGCGTGCGTAAAAAATCGTTAATTTTTTTTCAAATTTACGGGGACATAGCGGAGCCAAACAGACAGAAAGAAGATTTGTATATTGAATTGGTTTTGTATGGATGGATATTTTGACGAGCAGATTGTCATAGTGAACACTTTAACTACTGTAGGTATCTTTATCATTTGTTCAAACATGAACCATCAGGAGGACTCATTTGGCGCACACCTATTTGATATTTAGGCCTTTTATTTTTAAGAGCATAAAACGACTTGTAAATCTTAAGAAAGGTTGATCTTGACGATTACGTAAGCTTGAGTGTAAATTTTCGTTTACCGCGTGGCCGCAAAAGGCTTTAGAATTGTCAATTGGAATTGATGTATATGTAATGTCACGACGTTAAGAAATTCCTTTTTTGGAAGACATGTGTATTACTTATTAAATTTAAACCTAATACTTCTAAACTAAATTGCATGTTATTTTCTAAAATAGTAGATTGATTCTTTTTAAAATTATTTTCGGGTGCCTAGTCTCTATTATTGGTTTACTGTTTACGTTTCAGTGATTAATAAGACCGTAAAATCTTATTTAAATCAAACTTTTATTGACAAAAAAATATTTTTCTCCACGAAGAATGGAACAGATAATTACGATTACGAATTACGACACTCTTTATATTATATATTGAAGGTAACGTGATCTTTTCACCCACCCGCACTGATGATATCGTCGCAAGCTCAATGCATGTATATGCATGAATAAATATGACCAAATAAAATTAAAATGTGACAACGATCTTTCAAGATATTTTAAAATCGCGAATATTGTTGTATCTGGAAGTTTTTTGTCACCAGAATAACTGAAAAGCCAAAACACGATATTTCGAAATGAACGGATGCGGTATTAAAGACATTTGCTCCGAGTTCGTTGAAGCTCCGAGTATGAACATCTTCAAAAACAGACTAGACGAAGCTATGCAGGAGCATATGTTCAGTCTTAAAATGCCTAGCAAATTACGGAGCAGGCAATATGTCCAATAGCTATCTTAATCAATCGTCAGTTATGGAAAGATCGGGTTCCAAAGGCCGGATCCCTTGTGAATCAAGTCACGAAAAGTTCAAGAATCGGCAACAGGCCATGGGCCTATTTCTTCAATGCCGACACTTCTATTCTATTCTATTCTATTTGAGACCCATCGTAGTGACCGGAATATATTCATGAATATTGAATTTGGTTCCGGCAGCTTTTAACCTGCGTTGCAAAGTTAAAGAGCAAAGAGTTTCAATCGTGCAGGAGTGTATGGATGCAGCGGTAGAAATGCATAAATGATACAAGTAGGATTTATAAGGAAGATAAAGGAACTTGCGTGTAATAAGATTGTAAGAGAAGGAAGAGTGAGGGCAACGCTTACCGTCATGGCAGTTTCCTATGGCACGGAGTATACTGAAAGGAGTACGCAGAGAGGAGATTACTACGCAGTGAGGGTCAGAGACGCATAAAAACAAAAGAAAGGCATTTATTCAGCATTGAAAAGTACCGTATAGAAGTAATTATTCAGAACATGAAAGCTGGGGCGGTAGTGGTTTATGCTTCAACTTGTCAGTAAAAACAATACACGACCGTTGTTAATTAGATGTTGGTTATGATTTTCTGATCAAACGATTTGTTGGATGTAAATAAAAATAGCCAATCGATAATTTTTATGCGCGAAGAAAATCAGGAGAAATTAGACAGGAAAATGAGGTTTGTATACCAAGTATTCAAAAGAAGGAAAACACAGCTAAATTAAATATAAGTAAACATCAAATTACACTAACAAGATACAGAGCGAACACAGCCTCAAAATTAACACGGAAGAGGCTAAACTCCGGCGTTTGAAATAACTACTACACATAAATGTTATATTCACATAACGATGATCAGAGATTGCATGGTGCGGTTCCCTAAGTATCATAAAGTTATATTATACAAAGAGACCGCGTCTGATCCAACACACAGCAGTTACTGGCCTTCATACACATTTAATCAATTTATTTATGCTTATGATTAAAATGGGATTAAGAAAAGGGTAAAATTTTCAACAGGAAAATCACACGATGGTGATTATAAGATATATAATAATTTTGACCTCGGGGAAATAATTGTGAATTTAGAACTTAAGCGCTACAGTAAATGCGTTTAATTTTGAATAAAAAAATATGCATGGGAACTAAATTGTTGTTGCATATTTTGACAGCTCTTGCATTATTCAGCTTAACATCGTGCCACGGAATAGTTTAGTTAAAATCTAGAGGTATAGAAATAATAACGATGTTAGAAGATCCCGGGAGAATGTATTGATCGAGCGCCATAACTGCAATGGTGACTAGCAGACGACAGCCTCTACTGACAGCGAGACAAATTATACATGTGAACAGATAACCAGCGTTTATCATTATTTATAGTCGTTTATTTACCTGGATGGGTAAGCACGGAGAACAAATCTAAGGGAACTATTGAAATAGAAGAGGAAAATGATTCACCTGAAGAATGTGGACGTGAAGACACCTACTCGTGGTCGAGTCAACGCGCTACTGAAGAACATGGAAAAGAACGGAGTCCAAATGCGTGCCACCTTGCTATCACTTGACCTTGGCTTCGTTTTGCCGTAGATTTCCCAAACTATTTCTAAAATACTGTCATGTGGAATAAGAAACCATTGAATTGAACTTGGAATAAAAAACCATTGAATGTGTTAAGGGAAGTACCTTTTTTAAGTACAATGCTTTTCAACGCCGGGATGTCATTAGGTTCTATGGATAGGAGACCTTAGCCCTTTGAGATTTTTTATCATATTAAAATTTTTAAATACTCTTTGCATGATTATACTTAAATTTAAGCCACATTAACTTGAATTATTCAGACCACTTTTTTAAATAATACCAAATCCAATAAATGAACATCCAATTGATAAGGAGAGTTTGAGAATATTTTAGGTGGGTTAAAGCTGCCTTAAATAGGACTCAATGACGCCACTGGATCAACTATAGCTAATAATCCTTTAGGAAATGATCTATAGGTAAGATTCTATGCGATGAACTAAAGTTCTATGTGATAGATGCGACTGAAAACAATTCGGTCAAGAGCCTCTAAACATTAATCGATTTGAGAGAGACATTTCAAGAAATTTTTGCAAAGAACAACGTATGTTTTTTACTTATCAATCCAATCATCAAATTTGACTTTTAACGTAGAAATAAAACAATAAATTAAATTAAGCAAAAATGTGCCTTGTTAAAATTTCGATTTTATTTAAAAAACGTTAGAAGTGGCAGATTAAAAAAAGGCATGGTCGGAGAACGAATTTTAAAAATAATTGTAATTAATTTAGTTTTTAGCGCGAAAATTGATGCAAGTTTTCAATTTTAAAATGGTGTTAAATTTATTTATTTTGTCACGTATTTACTGATTATTAAGGTTACGTATTTACTGACTATTATACGGGTTTGTGTCCATTGTTTATATAATGGAAAGCAGTGTCACGATTGTTAGTTATATTCACTTCACATTAATTCTTTCTGCCTTACACTAAATAACCATACAATTAACCTTTCTTGATTATATCTTTTTCGCGCCAACTTTATCCGCAAGGTCTATGATAAATTTAAACAAGACATTTACTTGACGCAATAATTATTAGCGCCATAAGTGAGAATAAAAACTGGTATTGAACGCGATCGTGACCATTTGCATATGTGAATCAATCAACATAAGCTTAATTGACGTATTTTCTGGTGAAAATTGAATTTTTCTACTGTTTTTACGTCGACTTAATCACATCTTTTCAATCGAAAAAATTGCCATTTAAGGCAAATCTATTGTTAGTAATCCAAAAAATGATCGCCAGTTTCTGACACAGAAATATACCGTTATGTGTTTCGTATAGCTACCACAAATCGGTTAAATTTTCCACGGCCAGGAGCCAATTATTTTGAAAGCTCTCACCTAAACACAACATCTGTCATCAATTGGTTCCGACTAAACAAGATCGTAACATTTAAAAAGAAATTAAGTTTGCTGGCGCCTTAACAACGTTTAAACAGTTTGCCGAGTATATCTGTCAATGTCCTGGTGAAAAAAAGTTCAGTATCGATTCATCGCGTATATAGATTATTTGTTAATAAGATGAACTTTGAAGAATACAAAAACTGTTTGTTTTGCAATGATGCATTATTGCATCAACGAACTTTGATGGCCTAGGATCCGCACTTGCCATTGTATACATCAACGCACGTTCATGTATCATTTCTAATAATTATATTATCTAAGGGGACGGTAGAGCTACTATTGATGACCCGCACCGGGTCTTCTGTGATGGAAAGTTGCAGCCTCAATCATGTTTGGTTGTATCAGTTAACTCGGCTTCTACTTAGAAATCCTGGTAAAGCTTAGACACAGCACGCGTTTAAATTTTCAGTTCGATTTATTTATTCGGGATCTTGAAGTAGCACATCGAAAGTAGCACTTTAAGTGGCTGCTCTTGTACCTATAGAGTTCACGTCATCGGTTACGGTTCAATCATTATTGATCCTCTTCTTCGGAGTTTGACAATTGGACAGTTATAAATAGCTGCGGTAGATAGATAAATTTAAAAACAACCCACACTTTATCTAACTATGACAATTTGAAAATTTGGAATTTATGCAGAATTTGTCGCAACTTTTCATAAAACATCGAACGAGTATAAATGCATTGACCAAACCTTCATTACTGCATTTCTTATAACAATAATTAATGCTCTGTAAGTCCAACTGAGGAATAGATGTGAGTCCGACTGAGGAATAGAAGGCCGTAGACTGATTTTCGGATAGATAAAACATAGAATAAATTTTCATCTAAATGCATTAATTACTTAAATATTGATTGAGAAGAGGGCTAAATAGTTTCCACGTTGATTAAAATGATTGGATGTGCTATACTGATTTTTAAAATGTGTTCTAAATTCATGTAAAGAAAAGAGCGCTCGTGTGATGGTGCCCTCATTTTGATGGTGACTTCGAGTCTTAATTCCTCACCAAAGGATGGGCAACTCAGACGTCGTCCACCGCATTTAGATTGGGCTCTATAAACAAAATTAGCGGAGCCTCACATACACGACATACATACGACATTCACCAGATGCACATACGATCAGTCACATGCAGTCTATATCAATCATACAGGTCATTTTTTTCGTCACAGGAAAACGATCACTTATTTGCCACATGCGACCGATCATTTGTTCGCCACATGCAACCGATCACTTATTCGCTGCATGCACACGATTAATTATTCGCCATCACATACGATTAATTATTCGCCACGGTCAAGCAATCACTTATTCGTCACGTGTGAGCGATCACATATTCGCCACATGCACACGATTAATTATTTGCCATACACATACGATCAATTATTCGCCACGTGTGAGTGATCACTTATTCGCCACGTGCACATGATTCATGGAATCATGATACGATCGAATGATTACTCGCCATATATATACGATCGACTATTCGCTTCCTGCAAACGATCAATTATTTGCAGCAATCGATCAATAATTATTCGTCAACTATTCCCCAATCAATCAACTATTCGCCACATACAAACGTACACGTATAACTCTCATTGGACGTGCTACACTAATTTTTAAAATGTGTTCTGAATTCATATAAAGAAAAGAGCCCTTATTGCCCTCATGTGATTGTGCCCTCATGTGATGGTGCCCTCATTTTGATGGTGATTCCAAATCTTAATTCCGCACCAAAGGATGGGCAACTCAGACGTCGCCCACCGCATTTAGATTGGGCTCTATAAACAAAATTAGCGGAGCCTCACATACACGACATACATACGACATTCACCAGATGCAAACGATCAGTCACATGCAGGCTAGAAGAGAATCGGCAACAGGCCATGGGCCTATTTCTTCAACGCCGACACTTCTATTCTATATCAATCATACAGGTCATTTTTTTCGTCACAGGAAAACGATCACTTATTCGCCACATGCGATCGATCACTTGTTCGCCACATGCTAACGATCACTTATTCGCCACATGCACACGATTAATTATTCGTCATTCACATATGATTAATTATTCGCCACGGGCAAGCGATCATTTATTCGCCACTTGTGAGCGATCACCTATTCGCCACATGCACACGATTAATTATTCGCCATACACATACGATCAATTATTCGCCACGATCGAGTGATCTTTTATTCGCCACTTGCACATGATTAGTTATTTGCCTTATATATACGATCGACTATTCGCATCCTGCAAACGATCAATTATTCGCTGCAATCGATCAATTATTCGTCAACTATTTGCCATTCAATCAACTTTCGCCAAATACAAACGTACAAATGCACCGGGAAAAACTGGTAACCCAGTCTGCTTTTCTTACAGGTTTAACTTTGATTACCTACACGGGTCTGAAAAAAATCTGAAAATTGTTTTTATTTCTGAAAGGGTGACTGTTTTTTTGCACTGATTTCATTATTTCATTTTGGGTCATGATAACTTCAATTAATGCATTGAAAGGGCATTAATTTGAATTGAATTCTCATTTTACATTTAATTAAATGTCTATAGCACCTCACTTCCCACCACAATATCGATTAATTTTTTATTTAATTTTTAACGATGTCAAAATTTTAAGCTTTCCGTTTCCATGTTATGCGATTTATAAAGCGTGGAAGTGCACATCCAGCACTAGTATTAGTGGGTATGAGTCTTGTTTGAACGTTCATTGTGAGAGGTGCTACCTTACTATCGCTCTAAGTTCGAACCTAAATCTGTCCAAAGTGCTTAGTCCCGCGTTTTGAACATAAATTTTTATTATTGATCAACTCCTGTGACTAGTTTATAGTAAAACTCAGTGTTTCCAAGTGCTAAGAAGACAGCCATGTCTGCCTCTTCATCCGGCCACACAACAAGCTTAGAAGACCACAGCTCAACAATGGCGGACCTCTCGGGAACCGACGACTTTCCTTCGCCCTCCCNTCCTCCCTCCCTCACTCAGCTATCACAAAATAGCCCCCCGCCTCGACGCAGAGAAACCACATCAGAAGAACCCACACGAGCCCTCCCCTTCGCCGAACTCTGCATGAGCTTCCTCAAATCACTTTTCCACCAATGCATTCGTACTCTCTCAGAGTACTTAGCTACAGCAGACAGCCCTCTAGCCACGGTGATTCAACCTCTTCTTACCTCACTACTTAGCCATCTATCCTCCTCGTAATGCATCTTCCGTCAATTCTCCTTTGGAACGCCCGAGTACTCTTGTCCAAACACTCAGAACTCAAACTATTCCTATTCCATGCAAGCCCAACCCTAGTATGCATAACAGAGACGCACCTACAAGAACGACACTCACTTCGCTTTCCGGGATACACATCCTACCGACAAGACAGAGCTGACGGCTATGGAGGACTACTCATCCTAGTCAGCACCCAAAAGCAGCAAAGAGCAGCCACACTCGAACCTTCCGCAGACGGATATATGCAATCGCTCGCAGTAGATGTGGCCCTTTTTGGGACCTGGTCCCGCAT